AAAAAAGGGGCGGGGGGAGATATAGTGGTTATGGCTTGTTTAAATTGTAGTTTTTTCTTAATTTATTTGGTGTTAAGTTTATTGTTAAACAACCTAACAATAAACTTAACAGCAAATAAATTAAGCAAAATTTGCAATTTAAATAAGCCATAACCGCTTATTTATATGTATACTGTTTGATGTATTTTGTTTATATGTTCTTAGTAGGTATTGAATGTATTATATGTATTTTTTATATACTTTGTTTATATGTTCTTAGTAGATATTGAATGCTTGCCTTCTGTGTTGGAAACCACCCTGAGTTCCTTCAGGGAGATAGGGTGATCTACAAATAAAGTTTGTTGTTGTTGTTGTTGTTGTTATTATTATTATTGTTGTTGTTGTTGTTGTTGTTGTTATTATTATTATTATTAATTATTATTATTATTATTATAGGTGTTCTCTGGTCTATCTCAATCTAGTCACAAGGAAGCTAGTATTATACGCTTTACTGTCTACCTTTCTATATTAATTCTTTTCTTATATTACAACATCAACAAAAACCTTTAATTTATTCTTCAAAATTCCGAATTGGCAAGCCCTTCTCTTCTTCATGCAAAAAGTGAATAAAAGGCTTCCAGTCTTTTTTTTAAATCAATGTCTTATTTTAGTAGACATGTTAATTTGTCCATTTTAGTGAAGTCCATCATTTTTGTTATCCATTCCTCCATTTTTGGTATTGTTATGTTAACCATTTCTTCTTACCCTGTGTCTCTTTTCTATAAACTGCTTCTTGCGCAGATACCCACCCTGGGATCTTCGGGCATAAGATTGATTTAAATCTCTCCCATATTTATTGTAAAGCATATCTAACATAATGGTTTTTGAAATCTACATTCACTTTCACTTTATTATACCACATATATCTGTTCCAACCATATCTCAGATGATGTCCCTCCAGTGTTTACATCCTAGTATCACTCAACAAAACCCAATCCAAACTAAATAGCAAGCAGCAAAGTAGAGTTTCAGATTAGGCATGTTCAGAGGCAGCCCTAGGTAATTTTCAATGGTAAGCAAACAGTATTTTGCCCGCCTCCCAACCAATCACTGATATATATTTTCTGTTCATTGTGGGAGTTCTGTGTGCCATATTTGGTTCAATTCCATCATTGGTGGAGTTCAGAATGCTCTTTGATTGTAGGTGAACTATACATCCAGTAACTACAACTCGCATATGTCAAGGTCTATTTTCCCCCAAGAGCGCCTCAAGAGCGCTCCTGGGCAAAATCAACTATACTGCAAATGCTTACTTTGCGTAATGGGTTGAGCCGCCCCTGGGCACGCTTAATCTATCCCTGAAAAAAAGCGGTTCTTAACTTTCTCTTTACCAGATATCTCCTTTAAATATTATTGTTTTACAGACCACCAAGACTTAACATTTGTATGGAATAATTTCTATAAAATATCATGCATTATACTCCTATTATAATATTTTATTGAAATGATTCCATACAAAACAACAACAGCTATATCAACAATAATGCCTGAACACTAATATTACTTTATTTATTTACTATATTTATATACCACCCCTTTCAGCCCAGAGGCAACTGGGCTGAGAGGGGCTGTATATAAATGAATGATATTGGGTTCAATAGCTGAAATTTATATTCTGAGTCTACATTTTTCAAATAGTTTCTATACCTATTTTTAAGATAAATGTTCCCACAACTATGCTGTTACAAAAGGGCTCTAATATACTTTCATAGTCATCTTCAATAGTTCTGGAAAATCTATTTCTAAGTGAGCTGAGAATTTTGGAAGGAACTGTTCCTTGAACGTGAGTTTCAGAGCACTATCTATTGATATATCTATAAGTTTGTCTTCCACTGCCACTGTGAACCCCTCTAGTTCATTCACATCAATTGAAAATGATCTCTCATTCTATTTTTGCTTGCACAAGGAACAGGCAAATATTTCATGGACAGTGTACTTCAACCATTTTAAATGTCATGCTAAAAGTGATGTGCAGCTTTAAGTCTCCTTGGTGGAGAGAAAAAGTGAGGTATAAACATAATAGTAATAGTAATAATTGTACAGTTTTCTGGCATTGTATATTTCTGCCGATTCTGTGATTGTTCATATGTATTTTGATTCTGTAGCCCATTTGTCGATGAATGCCCAGAATCAGCAACATCCACCGTGGTCCTTTTTATCCTGGGTGTCGACCGAGCCAATATAGACTTCATTTTGATTTGCTTCTCCATAGTGCTAATAGGTTAGGTGCTCTTGGTTCCACTCCTCAGCTGAGACCTCTCTGGCTTGGTTGGACCTGCTGGTAGTTACACTACCGCCAACACAGCTCTCAGCATCCTTGGAGCAGTTAAGCCCCCCACCACAACAAGGTGATAGCTGATGAAACCGTGGATCATAGCCTCAGCTGTTGCAAGAAAATCGCACAGACGGACTACAAACAAAGGCACAACCCTGTTTTCCCCAGTTACCCCCTGTCATTCATTCTCCCTCTCCCCCCCCCCACATTTTTATGTAAATTTAAGATGGAAAAACCTTTAATAATTTTTTAAAAAAGATATCTGAAAGATATGCTAATTTTACTAACCAGGAAAAATCTTTCATAGAGTGGATGAAGTGAAATTGATTGAGAAATAATCTTACATCATCTCTCACTTTACAAGAACAGGACAAAATCTTAGCTGGTGATAACTAAGAAACTTCAAACTATGTTCAAATGTTGATGTGTTCGCTATCCATATCTTTGCAAAGCCCACAGAGTCTTGAATTAAGTGACTTGGTTTTCCTAACATTGATAATTTTGAGTGATTTGTTTAAGATCTGATTTAGTTTTGGCAACGAGAGCTTCCCTATGTATGCAGCAATGGTTCCTTATATTTGCTGAGATCCTGTTGATTCAATTTTTAACTGTGCCTTTTGACAAAGGTGTTAAGGAAAGGTCCTTAGCAACTGTGTTGTCAATGCAGAAACTGTGATTTTTAGCAACAGCTAATATAAGTTGTTCAGCTATCCTCTGTGGTTCTTTGGGTTTTGCTATTAATTGAGAAATTTAAAATGAGGCCCTCTTTGCCTTTTCATTGTTACAACCGGTTGCAATTGTTTTTACCCCTTTCTTACTTTTCCCTGAAGCTCCTGTTACTTAGTTCTGAAAACAACAACAACAACAGCAGCAGCAGCAGCAACAACAACGTTCTTTGTGGCATGTTCTTTATGTTTAGTATCAAAACGTCTTCTCCATTTTTATGGTTTCATTGTCTCACTGAACAATACATCATGACCCAATATATAATGATGTAAAGTCCTTCCACACAGCCATATAACCTAGAATATCAAGGCAGAAGATCCCACAATATCTGCTTTGAACTCGGTTATCTGAGTCAACACTGCCATATATTCTTTTCTGTGGTGGCCCCTCGGCTTTGGAATGCCCTCCCCATAGAGGTGAGATCAGCCCCTTCGCTGATGGTATTTCGAAAAAGGTTGAAGACATGGATGTTTAAACAAGCATTCGATTAATCTGGTGCAACGAAACTGATGAACAAGGATTGGTTAATCACAGACGACGAAATTGGATTGCGACTACAATTAAGAGATGCATTGGATTGTTATTGGTGGCCCAATAATATTGTGTATTGTGTATGTGTTTTTTATGCTTTTTAAATGGAATATTGTTGATTGTTGTAGTGTTGTAAACCGCGTTGAGTCGCCAATTTAGGCTGAGAAACAGCGGTATACAAGCGCAGTAATAAATAAATAATAAATATTCCAGTTCAAAGCAGATAATGAGGGATTTTATTCAGTTGTGTGGAAGGGGCCGTAGTTGTCTTCGATGTCTATACAGTGAAGCCAACGACAGATATTCCTTGCTATATTGGTGGTGGCACTTTAAAAATGACTTAAATAAGCTTCATTTTGGTTTAAACAGAATTCAACCTCATCAGTGTCAACAATACTCTACATTTCAAATGCAGACAGCAATCCAACCTGGGGCTCAGCCAAAATATATTGTTATGAAATTTGCTGTAATAACATCAATAAGTCACTTTCCCCAAACCATTACCTTTATTCACTTGTTTTTGAGATCTTTAAGGATGGCTAGCTCATGAAAAATGTCAATAAGAGAAACAACCATATTCATTAATCCACATGTATCGTCCCCAAAGTGTTTTTAAACAGTTACTCACACTGATGGACTTCAACTCTCTCTTTCTAGAAACCTTTTATACCTGAATTTATTAGATTTACAGTCTGTCTTTCTGCCAGTATGTTATCAAATGTGGCTTAAAATGGATTTATAAATATTGTGATTTACAAATGGATTTAGGTCTATAGTGCCAATATTGGAGAAGCTAAGACAATGGATACTCGCTAGTGGTAAGCCGAGTTCAGCATTTCCTTCGCCCTTCCCATCAATTCCTTAGAACAATTGGATCACATGCTCTGTTTGGGTTCAGCACCATCTATTTATTGTTTATTTGTTAATTTCTGTATTTTTCCATTCTAAGATGCACCCCCTCCATATAATCTCTAAAAACACGATACATGTAGTATTCACAGGTGTATCTTATGTATTTTTGTTGTTAGTGATGGTACTGAAATTAGATTGTGTCTTATAATTTATGGTGACTTAAAGTCAAAGAAATGCAGTATATATTGTGATATTCTTAACAATATTAAACCATGTTTTGGGAGAGAGGAGAACCAGTTATTTTTGCTCGTTTTTGAGATCTCTATGCAGATGGCTAATTCATGGAAGCAACAATTTAAAACTGATAAAACATATTATTGAAACATTTGTCCATAAACATAATTTCTTGGTAATTCTATAATATATATAATGGCTGCACATAATTTTCATCATAATTTTATTGTTATTACTAACATTGTTGCTTTCCAGAGCTGAAAATGCTAATATATGTCTCCAGATTTACATTTTAACACGCTCTGTAATTCATGCTGTTATTTTTTTTCTTTTTCATTTTTAGGGACCTTTCTAATAATAGAATTGGATGCTTAACACCTGAAATATTTGTTGGCCTTAAAAACCTTCATAAATTGTAAGTATGACACCAGTAAAACAATTAATGAAATATATACTCTGTCACAAATAGTATAACTAGATTGCCCTGGTTGATGGAAGTAATAGAAAGATAAATTTAAATGAGACAAAATTGTGTAGTAAGTAGGCTGAAACTAGAATTCAATTGATATAGTTCCACTCCCAGAAAGAGGTATATTTGGGTCTCATTTTCTTTCTGCAGCCTCACTATGTCACCACAACATATCTTTTTTGGACTATATGATCTTCCATCTTATTTGGAATCCCTTTGAAGGTGAGGGAGGAAACTATCATTGCCATTGGTTGCTTTCTGTTGTGGGTAGTCTGTTTGGGGCTTATTTACTGGTAAAAGACAAAACCTAGGTAGTCTTTTCCATCTCTTTCTGCCATGCTTTCCCCCACTCTTTTTGTTTTTATCTTTTTTTATTTTAAAAAAAATATCTAGCTTGATTATTGCAAAAGGGAGAAGACTACAGACTGTCTACTCCTCTGCATCCAGGATGAGAAAACCAACAAAAATTACATCCTTCCTCTTCCATTTGTGGATGCTTTTGCTAGCATTGAACTTGTTCTATGACCTCCACCTGGAAGAGAGCAGCCGTGTTTTGTTCAAATTACTAAATGCAATAAAAATAATCTGATGTGAAGCTAATTAAAATGAGGGCTGAACGGAAAGTATGCTTTTAGTGGTGTGCAATTAACATATTGAAATCATTTTCCTTTGGTTGTACAATGTCCTCTTAACTACTGCGTATGAAAGGCAAGTGAAATGTTGCCTTTTGTATATATTTTGAAAATAGTGGTCAAATCACCAGTATGTAGCTTTTCTTGCCTTTCCAAAAAGCATCTCCAACTATCCCTCTACACCAGGTTTTGGAGGTGCAGAGGGAGCTGTAGGAGTAAAGAGGGATTGATTGCCCTTCTAGTGATGTTGATGAAAGAAGTTCAATTAGAGGAAATCACTCACTGGATCCTGAATTTGAATATATGTATTTATTTATTTTGTTTAATACATCTAAACAACAGGAAATTGAAAGTCACAAAGAAAGGTCAAGAGCTTGAACATTGTTTCCATCCTAAATATCTTGGTGTCACCTTAGATCGAACACTAGCATATAGCAAACACTGCTTGAACACCAAGCACACAGTAACTGCATGCAATGACATCCTACGGAAACTTACTGGCAGCACATGGGGTGCAGACCCAAGATTAGTAAGAACATCAGCCCTAGCCTTGTCTTACTCAACTGCTAAGTATGCCTGCCTCTTAGGCATAGGTCTGCCCATGCAAAGCAGGCGAACAAAGCATTGAATGAAACATGAAGAATAACCACAGGATGTATTAAACCTACTCCTGTTGATAAACTCTACAACCTAGCTGGGCTGGCTACGGCCCTCCAAGGTCATTTACCCGGCCCTCGCTCAGGGTCAACCTAAGTCTGAAACGACTTGAAAGCACACAACAACAACAATCCTATCTCATCAGCCAAAAGCAGGCCCACACTTCCCATTGAAATACTAATAAGTTTATATTTGTTAAATTGTTCTTCACTTTAATTATTGTATTGTTTTAAAGTGTTTTTTTGCACTACAAATAAGATATGTGCAGTGTGCATAGGAATTCATTCATTCAAATTATAATCCAGCCCTCCAACGGTCAGAGGGATTGTGACCTGGCCCTCTGTTTAAAAAGTTTGAGGACCCCTGCTCTACAACCAGCTGGCATTGCCTCCCCCCCCCCCCCTGATGTGCGATGGGAAGTTGCTGCTAAATGTGAGAGAAATAAGCTTGAACACTGTGAAAGCCACCCACTACATGGCTACCAGCCTCCTCCCAGTAGACTCAAATCAAAGAAAAGCTTTATGAGAACTACAACTCCTCTTGGTGTCCCTCCAGCAACAGCAAGGGTCTCCCTCTGGGCAGCTAAACCAGGAAATCCCAACTGAATGGACCCCCACGAGGGTCTTCCTCCAGGGAGGCAAACCAAGAATGGACAACTTGGAAGTCCCTGAACAGAAGTGGAGTGGGCAGATCAAAAGACAACCTGGCAAAATGGCACTACCTAAAAGAATCCCACACCTTATGTGACTGTGGAGCAGAACAGACAACTCTGCATCTGTATGCTTGTCCACTATGCCCTGCCTCATGTACAGAGAAAGAATTGTTGGAGGCTACAGACAATGCTATTGCTGTTGCCCATTTTTGGTCAAAAGATACTTAGCTACCTGCACTCCTTCTATTTTTATCAGTTTTATACTAATTATGCAATGCTTTTGATACAAAATAAATAAATCTAATGTATTACTGCTTGACATACCAAGGCCCCCAAGGCAATACACAATTGATAAAACTCTTTAAAACATAAATTAAAGAAATGACAGCAAATTGAAAATACTCAAAACTCCTCTTTAAAAATGTCTCTAAAACCAGACAGTTTTAAAAATAAGCAGAGTAGACAACCCTAGAATGATAGAATCATAGTGGATCCTAATTCTATGAACCATGTAAACAGTGGAAACTCAACAAGAATGGAACTTTACAAGTAGAGGAAAGCTCTGTTGTATGTGCACATGAGTCTAGTCCCATGGAATAGTGAAATAACATAACAGGACCTCCATTGATGTTTTAGACTGGGCAGGGTTATATGCCAGTAGGAAACCTTTCTGATATCTTGCCCTCAAGCTGCACTCTGTATTGGATTGAAAAACAATCTGGAAGCCAGAGAAGTAATTGAAAGACTGGTATTATGTTGTTCACCAAATATATGTCTGATAATAGTTGAAATTATTTATTTATATTTATTTCCAACATTTGTACCTCGTCCTTCTCAACCCCCAAAGGAGGACTCAGGGCAGCTTACAACGGCAACCATTCAATGCCAACACATGCAGAATACATACACAATATATCACAACATTACACAGTAAATAAAACCATTATATTAAAATCCATTTTAAAAACATTATTAACAACCATTTAGCCAAATCCAATCCAATTCAGTGTCTGAAGACTTTGTCAGAGCATTTGAACTGTCACATTTTCACTAGCTGAAGCATGTTATAGTAGTCTAGTCAAAAGGTGACTTTCTACCTCATCAGACAAGCAAAATTGCCCGTTCTATGATGCTTGCAGCTCTTTTTTAGAGATGGAGCTTGCTGGATCCCATCACATGATGTCAGTCTACTTCCAGTGGGGATCCATGCCTGAAGAGAGGTACAGGCTTTGCAGAAGGCAGCACCAGCAACATGGGAGGCATCCTGTGTTGCATAGACAACAACGGAAGAATCAAGTGGTGATGCCCTGGACATTAACCACGATCCATGGCAAATCCTCTGCTATCACCTGGATCTGAGGTCCCAATGTGATGAGGTCCTAAGGCATGGACCACATTGCCAGATCTGTCCTCTCTAGGAAAGGCATACTGATGCCACAACTGAAGCAGTGCAAATGTATTTCTGGCCACGATATCCACCCTCCTAGGGGCAGATAACAAGAGCATGTCTGAGTTTATCTAATCTTTCAGAGGCATTACAGAGGCAATGTCAATGCAGCCCTATCCAAAATAGACTGTAACACCCCATCCAGGTTAATTTTCCAACTGATTAAGAGAAATTCTATTTCGAACCACAGTTTATTCTCTCATATCCAATCCTTCATAAGATCTGGAGAGTAATTTTAGACTTCCATATTCTCCATATTGATATTAGATATAAAATAGAGCTATAGTGAATATCAGTAGTAGATGTACAACACTCAGTCTCAGAACTCTGGATGACCTCCCCCAGAATCTTGAGGCAGATGTTAAAAAGCCTAGCAGGCAGTGCTTAGAATTATGGAAGCCCACAGGCTAATGGCTTGGAGACTAAACAACAGTCTTACAGCTCTTCATTCTTGGAACATTCAACTGAAAGCTTTCCTGTATCAGTCCCAAAGGACTGTCATCATTAACAGTATCTAATTCCACTGAGAAGTCCAGTAAAACCAAAAAAGTGGAATGCATCCAGGTAATCTGCCTCATCCAAATAGGCTTGAAGGTTTGCTGCCTCCACTGTATGCCACCAATTTAGGAAGAACAAGAAATGTGTAGTCAACTGGATACCAGTTGTGATTTGTCTAGTATAAATACTAATGCTATCTTCCATCTTCACATGAGATATTAGTCATCAAATCCACAAGGCTACATGCTTAATAGTTATCCTTTATGTCTAATTGTTTGGCCCATAAAAAAATCTTGAAGCAAATCATTCAAGAAAGTTGCAAGATTTTTATGTATCTTCTATGGAACAAATTTCAATTGTGTTCTATCAAGATATCTATTATCTAATGATAAGGAGCCCCCGGTGGCGTAGTGGGTTAAACCCCAGTGCCAGCAGGACTGAAGACCGACAGGTCACAGGTTCGAATCCGGGGAGAGGTGGATGAGCTCCCTCTCCCAGCTCCAGCTCCTCATGCGGGGACATGGAGAAGCCTCCCACAAGGATGAGGAAAACATCAAATCATCAGGGCATCCCCTGGGCAACGTCCTTGCAGATGGCCAATTCTCTCACACCAGAAGTGATTTGCAGATTCTCAAGTCTCTCCTGACACGACAAAAAAAAAAAATCTAATGATTAGACTATGTTTTCCATATACTTGGAACGGCCCCATAACTGTGAATACATGCTAGTTTATAGTCACCCTCAGTCTATATATAATTTTCTAACCTTAATCTGTCTGAAAAAAAAAATCATTTGAAAGAGTCGTATTAGTGATAGAAGTAACGGTTTCCTCTACTAATGGATAATTTAAAGACAAATTTCAGGAATATTACAAGCTGATCATATTTGATGAAGTAGTCTTTGTATTCCTTGGTACTTGTTTAAGTTGATTAGTTGTTTGTTTGCAACATTCATACTGTATTTCTTCAGTTTTGTTTCTCCTAGCTTTGCAAAGTGTGATGCAACATGCCCTTTAACTAAAAATGTTAAAGTGCAAATTAAATCATCCTACAGATGTCTGGATGAGAATGTGGCAAAAAATTGCAATAAGATTTGCATGAGCACTGAGCAAAAGAGCACTCTCACTGAGCATCTACTTTTACTAACAAGAGCCAGGATCCTGCTTTGAAACCAGGACCAAGGAAACTATTCCAGAGGGACACCATGTTAGTTTCTGTTGCAGAAATATCAAAGAAGTTATTCCTTAAGGACTAACAAATTTATTATGGCATAAACTTTGGTGGAATCGAATCTACTTTCATCAAATTCATAGTGGGTTATTATAAGTTGCAAGGTTATTTATACACCTACAGGCAAAGAGAGAGAAAAGAGTAAGCATAGTGGCAGAAGAAATGGGGAAAGTGTTTCCTTGTCCACCTGGAGTCCCCATGGATGTGTTCTCCTCCTGATGATGAAATTGGTATTACTGCTCCCAGGTGGGAGAGTGACAATGTTTAAATCATTTTCACAAAGCAGAAAGCCCACCAGGGAAAAAGACCTGGACCATGGAAGAGATAGGTCTTTGAAGGTTTATTGCAGTGCCTGTAGGGAAAACTGCAGGCTCTTTGATTATGTTGTAGAGCACTGGAGAGAGCAGGTGAAGGGCTAATACGTGTTCCTACTGCCTAAAGTAAAGGTGGATTTGTAAATGAGATGGGAACTGATGGAAAGAGTGGGAATTTCTGTAAGAGAAGGTGACTGAATTATTTTTTCCAGATCTGGTCATAGAATAAGAATAATCATAGAACAATAGAATTGGAAGAGACCACAAGGGCTATCTAGTTAAACCCCTTCCATGCAGGAAAAGCACAATCAAAGTCATTCTCAACCATCTCTCTGTTTCTCAGGGCAGTTCCAGACAGGACTTTAATTCATGCTCAGTTGGGGTTTAAAAACCCAGTTGGACCCGCATAACCGTCCACATATTCCCCAGAAAGCTCATGCTTTTCAGGGGGTGGTGGTGTCCAGATACAATTTTTCTCCTCTAGCATGGAAATGCTGGCTGGGTATGTTATTTTTTTTCTTTTGAAGGCATTTTGAAAGCGACGTGATCCCTGGGCGCAATCCACACAGCACCCACAGCTGGAAAGACCTGAGTCTTCTGAAAGACCCAGGTCTTTTTAGCTGTGAAATTACTTCGGCACAAAGCAGGGTTTTTCTGCTTTGTGCCAAAAAAATGGTTTTTACCTGAGGCATCATTTGGACACCCCAAGTAAAAAGGTGGGAGGGCGTGCATTTTCCACCCTGTGTGGATGCGCCAACAGAGAGTCAGATGAAGAAGCACATGTGAATGGGAGCTGTCCAGGGTAGAGCAGTACATCTAAATTTACTTGCCATATTGACAGCAATGGAATATTTAGGATTTGATGAAATGGAACCTCCCACTTATTGAAAGGTGCAGTGAGGTCACATCCTAAGTCTTGCTCTTAAGACACATTAGTGATTGTCCAAAACTTCTAATAATTAAAAATTAAGTAGAGATGTCTAAGTGTCAACAAAGGCCATTTGCTTAAAAATCAATACGTTCCCAATGTATAGATGTTGGGAATAAGCAACTATGCAAAGCCATGGATACACCAATAGCACATTTTATCCTACAGATATGGTTTTAATTATGATTTCACCCTGTTAAATTTTTATTGGAGTAGTTATTGTTCACATTCCATATTTTTACGACTAACAATATGATACATCATCATTATTATTATTGATTGTGTGTGTGTATGTTCTGATTCCAGTTTAATACTTACATAATGTATGACTATTTCTACCAAAGACTTTCACTGAAATGATTCACAGTGGATGACAGATGTGGCAACACTAGCTGAAAGCAAAGCAAAGCAAAAAAGAAAAAAAGAAAAAAAAAGATTACTGACTAATATACTGGCCCGAATTTTCATGACTAACTTATTTATCTCTTGGCCATATTTATATTCGGTGAATTGCTCATGTTACAAACATGAACATAAATGACAAATTTTAAGGCAACACATTTTTGTTTATGAGTTTTTTATTATCATTTCTTAGTAGTCATGTTTCTTATTCTAAGGATGAATTATGCAGTGGTTTTTAGAGTGTAGGGGGAATTTCAATAGAAAATCGTGCAACTCTGAGGAATATGCTCCTTCAAAAATCAGATAATCTACAAACAGAGTTGGAAATATGCTACCCTTTTAGATAGCAACTTCCAGAATCTCCCATGTTAGGTGCTCCCTTTCATGCCTATGTTTTACATGACTGAGATTGAAAGAAGGGATATGTTTCTTGTCTTATTTGTCTTACAACAGGAACAAAATAATGAATACATTAAAAGGTATTTAATTTGGTTATGCATATCCCTCAGATAAATCTATGGAAGTCACTTTGAGTCTCCTGGTGGAGAGAAAAAATGGGGTATAAATAAGGATAAACATAAACATAATAATAATAATTCCAACCCCTTTTAAAAATGGTAACTGGATTACATAACAATCATTATACACCGTTTATTCTCCTTGTGGCATTGTTAAGCCACTTTGAATCCCCTTTGGGGAGATAAACCAGGATATTAAAATAATAATAATAATAATAATAATAATAACAACCATCTGCCAGCTGCAGAAGGCCACCTTACTGGGATCTGCACGCATTATTCGCCGATACATCACACGATCCTAGACACTTGGGAAGTGTCCGACGTGTGATCCAATACAACAGCCAGCAAAGTGATCTTGTCTGCTGTGGACTCATCTTGTTGTGTTTAAAATAATAATATACTTTATTTATATTCTGCCCAGTCTCCTCAAGAGGACTCAGTATTATGATTAAATGGAACTTATGTGACATAAGTTCCAGTGAATCATTTGGGCCACATAACCACATGATGGTGATGATGATGATGATAATGATAATAATAACAATACTTGTGACAAGTACCACCTGTCAGTTGTAAAGAATTGGTGGGATCATAAACCTGCAAAGGTAGTGGAAAATGAACACGCAAAAATACTGTGAGACTTTCGAATCCAGACTGACAAAGTTTTGGAACACAATACACCAGACATCACGATTGTGGAAAAGAAAAAAGTTTGGATTATTGATGTCGCCATACCAGGTGACAGTCGCATTGAGGAAAAACAACAGGAAAAACTCAGCCGTTATCAGGTCCTCAAAATCGAACTGCAAAGGCTCTGGCATAAACCAGTACAGGTGGTCCCAGTGGTCATTGGCACACTGGGTGCTGTGCCAAAAGATCTCAGCCGGCATTTGGAAACAATAAACATTGACAAAATCATGATCTGTCAACTGCAAAAGGCCACCTTACTTGGATCTGCGTGCATCATTCGAAAATACATCACACAGTCCTAGACGCTTGGGAAGTGTTTGACTTGTGATTTTGTGATACAAAATCCAGCATATAGATCTCGTTTGCTGTGACATACTGTGTTTTTGTGTCAGTAAAATAATAATAATAATCTGGTAATCTAAAAATCTTTTTGCAGTCTCTACTCCTGTCATTTTCCATTAGTGAGTGAATTTCCAACTTTGTAGAATATAGTTTTGTTGATACAGCTGTAATAGTGTTTGGATCAGTCATTGATAACTGTCATAAGAGAGGAACAATGCTTTTTAGTGTCGGGTTAGGCCATAGAAAATGTGAGCTCCGTTTCCCGTTTTGCCATGAAGCATCCTCTCCCAGCTTTTACTTTTCAACCTCAAAGGCAGACATAGCCATTAAGTAGTTAAAATGTGTTCATCAGTTGCATTAGAAATTCTCAAATGAAAAAAGGCAACATAGTTTATTCTTTTATACTAAATTAATTTACTAAATCTAGAATTTTGGCATCAGCTGACTTCCAGAATTAAGTTATTACTAAATTGGATGAGAGACAGCACTAAAGAGGCAAGCAGTTTTACTAGGAGAGCAAAGGTCGCAAGAATCAAACCACTTACTCATGAAGAGAATGGGTTGTTAATACATTTTGAAGTGAGCAGTTGCAAAAAATTATTTTCTTCTGGCATTTGTGTCTATCTGATTTTGGTCTGTTAGCTTGTAGAAAATACGAGGAAATTCCACGCATATGCAAAATTCCATAGATATTTCATAGATAATGGGCTATTTAATGTTAAGTTTGGCGATGGTCCTATAATTTAGTGCAAAACTGTGCATTGAATTATAGTGAGTGCAAAACTGACCAAAACAAACTAAGGCTTCAGAAATATTTCATTTTATGTGTGTATCTATATATTTAATAGATCATTCTAATTGCATAACTATAGTAATCCCAGATCTGCATATTTGCCAATGAGAAAAAACTGCATAATTTGATTTTTTCTTTAAAAATATTATTCTTGTGTTCCTTTTGTTGTCCTTAGGAATTTATCAGGAAACATTTTTTCAAATCTCATGAATGGACTTTTCTCTGAGCTGTTAGCTCTCAAAGCCTTGTAAGTATTATCTTAACAACAGAAAGCATGCTTTGACATTGTATGATGTGTACATCTATATCCACCTATCCATCTATTTTTTATTTTACTTATTTTTATCCCACCTTTCTCCCAATAATGTGATTGATGAATATACATATTGAGCGTCCCTTATTTGGAATTCTGAAATGCAAAATACTCCAAACTCCTAAATTATTATAATTATTATTATTTATTTTTGTCCTGCTTTCATCCCATGGGTGGGGCTCAAAGCGGCGTACAGTGGTTAAAAATGACAAAATTACATAACACAAAATACAACATAAATATCATATAAGCAAACTAAACAGAAATACATACTAGATAAGCCAAAACTGACAGATTAATAAATTAAAACGTTATACCATTATACCATGAAAACCATTAAAAATTCCTTGACTCTCAGGTCATTAAGGTTATCTATTTTACAAGTTGTTCTAGTGTCCTAAAAGCTCAATTTTCTTAGGTTGTGCTTAAATATTGCTGGTCCAAAATTTTTTTTGGTTGTGTCAGCAAGTCACTTCTGGTGTGAGAGAATTGGCTGCCTGCAAGGACGTTGCCCAGGGGACGCCCAGATGATTATTGATGTTTTTATCATCCTTGTGGGAAGCTTCTCTCATGTCCCTGAATGAGGAGCTGGAGCTGATAGAGGGAGCTCATCCACCTCTCCCCGGATTCAAACTTGCGACCTGTCGGTCTTCAGTCCTGCCGGCACAGGGGTTTAACCAACCCACTGCGCCATCAGGGGCTCCTTGGTCCAAAATGACATTCCAAAAATACACAGTTTCCCGTATGAATTTTGTCAATTTTTGTTATTGACAAAAATTATTATGGGTGCATTATTATTATGTTCAGGGACTGGATGTTTGCCTTTTATGTTTGGAATCTGCCCTGAGTCCCTCTGAGGAGATAGGGCCGAATATAAATAAAGTATTATTATTATTATTATTATTATTATTATTATTATCTGGCCATTGCCTATTGTTGATCTTCAGGAAAGACCTGGTTTCATAAAAAGGCCTTAACTTGAAAGCAAAAAGCCAACAAGGAGGGGGCCCATTGCACTTCTCTAGGAAGGGAGTTCCAGAGCTATAGGGCCACCACTGGAAAGGCCCTCTCTCTCATTCCCACCAACCATGCTTGTGACAGTGGCGGGACCAAGGAAAGGGCCTTTACTGATGATCTTAGGGCTCATAGGAGGAGATGCGGTTCCTCAAGTAGGCTGGGCCGGAACAGTTTAGGGCTTGATAGGCCCAAATGGTCCAACTGGGTGGCTGGAATAGTGACACCTTCGATTTCTGGTGGTTCTGTGAAAAGAAATTTTGTTTCATGCACATTTTTTTAAAAAAATATTGTGTATTCTCCAAGATATTGCATTAAATACAGATATTCCAAAATCTAAAATCTGGTCTTAAGCATTTCATATAAGGATTGCTTTATATTAATAGGCTTTATTTAGATGTTCAGTGTCATATGTTTCATTACATGTATTCTTTCAATGTATTTTGTAAAATAAGTTCTAATTCTTTTATTATTGTCAAAACAAGTTCTGCGTCTTTGAAATATACATTTGTGATAGCTCTAGGTCATTAGGGATACAATAATAGCTCTGTGTAGTTTAAAAAAACACTTGTGAAGTTGTCTTTAAAAATACTAAAGCTTTATGGTTAATTTCCCTTACATTTAATGTAAGGGATGAGTAGAAATTGAGAACAAATAAATTAATTCCTTACAGCATTTACATAAAACCTCTTAGATGTTCATTATAGCAATACTTAGATTGAATGTACATATTAGATTTAAAACATTTAAATATTCATCCTTGTTAGCAAATAAGAAAGATTTTATTAAACAATAAAAAGACTGATGAAAAATTAACTGGAGTGTAGAGGGCAAATAATGTTTCTATAATTACATGCATGCTGAAGTTAAATATTGTGGCTGTTAGATTCTTATTGACTGCACTGAATTAGAAGTGGAATTAGTCATAATACGTTGGGATTATGGAACTGAAAAACTCAATGCAGTCCGTCAAGGTTAAAAAGGCTTGGAGGACCATGTTCCCTAGCCAGAAAATGCTCAGGGACATGACAATTTCCACTCTTTCATGTAAAATACAAATGCATAATTCCTAGACCAGGTCAAGAACAAAGATCAGACTTTCTGCTAACATCTTTGAATGCTGTTTCTCATTGAAATAGTTGTCATCAGATGGGGCTTCCCTGCCAGTCCAGTGACGGATAGGCAAATTGCCCATCCCACAACATTGTTGGACTTTGGACAAAGGCCTTGCCCACAATTTGAGTGGAAGTGTCATATGATGCTCCCTCCTAACGCAGGAGTCTGCCCATGTTGTGCTGATTCTAATGAAGCCAGCACCGATCCTCACCACTTGGACAACGCTACCCACGAGTGATGGAGAAGTGTCACCATGAGAGAGTGGTGCACAGGGCAACAGATTCATCCTGCTGCCCCTGTGTTTCTTCAGCGAAGCCAGACAAAGTAGAGATCATGTGGTCTTCTGCAAGCTATTGGACTTCAACTCCCAGCTTTCTTAAACATCGTCTATGTTGATCCAACATCTAGAAGACCACATGATTTCCATCCCAACTTCAATGTCTCCCTGGTCTGCATACAACTTTTTCTTGAGTTTCTCAATGGAATCCATATATTTAAATGTGTGATGTCAGTATATGTATGAAAATATACAAACATATACATAACACATGCATTATATGTGCTCACATAATCTATACATCGTAAGTGCACATACATGCATGTCTAAAAATATACTGCATATAGCAGAGCAGGCTGAAAGAAGATGTCTAGCTTGGTAGTATGCCAAGTTTTTCAAACATTCAGAAGTGCAGTGAATCCCATTTAAAATAATCAAAGTAATGGATTTTGGCCCCGAGCTTGTTGAGCAAGCTTGTTGAGTTATAGGAGCTGCCTTGCCTCTATGCTTTTTGGTGGATTAAATAAGTGGAATGAGAGTTGCTATCATGAGACATCAGATCCCTCACAGCCTGGGAGGATCTCTATAAGGCCCTTTGTGCTCATTGCTTTCTGGACTTTCCAGCCCTCCCCCTCTTCTCTAATATAGTACGAGATTGTCCATTTGGGAATTTTGGAAAGGGTCTTAGGTTGCCTTTTAGAACCTCTTTCTTCCCTTGCTTTATACTATCTCAGGAGTAAAGAGGCTTCGGATTCGGTTTGATTGAAATTAATTCTCCTATTATCACAACAGCCAGGAAGTGTCTGAGGACCTCTTCACATGGGATATTTTTGCCCTGTTTTGATGCCTTTATGTATGGCTTGGATGGGACCTGTCATGTGCCATCATACAACGCATGGCAGACCCCACCCACATTCCTCTCAAAGTGGGGTCGAAGCACCAAAAGGAGTTTCCTCCACAACTATGGGGAGGATAGTCTTGTTTGGGTAGCTCTGATGGAGCTACCCGCACTTTCTTCCCCTTTTTGCTGTGTGATGGCAGAAAAGGTGGCAGGGCAACATCCCATCCCCACCGTGTGATGAGGGGGGGGGAGGGAGGGTGTGTGAGGCACCATGAGCCACTTTGCACACCTTCCCTTTAGCAGCACAATGGCACAGCTCGAAAGGGTTGTGTGAAGAGGTGGTAAGACTAGCATACCCTGAAGCACCTTTTTGGATGTCTTCAACACTTCCTTCAGGTTGATTGTTTGGATGTTGAAGAAGATGGCATGCTTTCTGAGTTATTCTTTGAAATCAGAGTGGTGTCATCCTTTTTGCTTTTGAGAGCAGTGGGGTATTAATGCCTATCTTCAATTTTTTAGTTGCCTTCACTTCATTTCAGATTAAATTCTTCAGGCTCCATTGCAGTTTCAGTTAACGCACAATGGCTTGTCCTGATTTAATTCCATGTTCTGTCTTGAGTCTTTATTCTAGTATGTGGTGGTAAATATCTGATACATCCCAAATACCTCAGTTAATGAAGTCAATGTGTTTCTAGGAAATATTTCTTTAACTCTGGATGCTAATGAGACACTTGAATTGACAAGCTAATGTCCTTTTTTGTCCCTTCATCCATGACATAAATATCTAAAGCGGATCCCATGCAATAGTATATGGGCATTATGTTTATTGCCATGAAAGACAGATGAGACTCCATTTTGGAAGTCAAGGATCATATACATTTAGAACATTTCATTTACTTTGCCTTCTAGGTGATGTTAGTGTTGGAGGCTTTTCAGAACCGAAGAAAAATAATCTAGGAATAGGTGATTGAGATTTGCAGAATATAGTCATGAGTTACATATGACAAGTACGACATAAAAACAATTTCAAGAGGAAAACTATTTATGAATATGGGGTTTTCTTGCAGACATTTCTCTACTGATTCTCTCATCTGTGACTGTAATCTCAAATGGCTGTTACATTGGGCTAGAAATGCCTCAGTGCGGATATCAGAAGAAATGGTTTGTGCATTCCCAAAGGGTTTACAGGGAATACCAGTGCGGAACCTGAAAGAAAACCAGCTGATATGTGGTGAGTTGGACCACAGTTTTCAGTCTTCTATAGTGAAATATAAATGTAGTCTGAAAAAGTGTATGCTGAAGTATACCATAAATTGATGACAGGTTTTGGCACCAAAATTATATGACCTGTGGATAAGTTGATGGTATAACTTAGAAGCACGCAACAATTGAACTTTTGGACATTCCCAGAAGGAGGCCAATTGGCACTTCTTTTACAGGAAGCTCTGCTTGGATGGACTGGTTTCAGAGCAGTATTATCATAAAGATCAAGGTTTTTACATCTAATTTTTACTTTTTCAATAGTATATATGGTAAGTACCAAATGGTTGGTTTCACACAAACTGAAAACAGGCATAAGGTGTTATGGTTTAATGGAAGGACACTTTTTAAAAACTAAATGCTGTTAGATCATTACAGAACTCCTTCATCTATATACAAAATGTGCATTGTAAAACTATCACTGCTGTCATCTGACTCTGAAGTAATCGTTCTCGTGCATTTGAATGTAACATAACAGTGGTATTTCTCATTGCATTATATGTTCAAATAAAATATTCCATTTTTTATTGGATTACACGTTTGACAGCATGGAATAAATGTCAAATTGCATTTTTCTGCCAGTCACCTTTTCAAACTTTGTAGGATAAGCTTTAGTTGTGTGTTCTGGCAAGGGGAGGAATAAATTTTAATAATCAGAAGCTTTCACTGAGGCAGAGGGTTTTTTTTATATAAAAATGGGAGTAATGGAAATAGATTGGATGGAAAGCAGATAAAGTAATAGAAGTGGACAGAAATTGAAATGTATCTCAAGTCTAGACTGTTATATTTGGGTAAGGTGTAAACCAGAGTACTTGTGCCTTTCCCTAGAGATCTCATCATGCAAATAAAGCTGACCTTGGAAAGGCTTAGAAATGGTGTTCTACATTTCTAATAACAGAGAAAAATCTTTTTTTACCAACGAAGTCAGAATGGATATGTAAGTTATGGAATATGACTTACATGGTAAAATTGCCAAATTTAATTAAGTGTCAGAAAAAGGAGACAGCACAGCATATTTCTTTATTTATATACTGTAAGCATGACAAGGTGCAAGATAAAATTGATCCATATATATATATGAATGAGAGTATAATGGAAGCCAGTTGGAAATACTGGTTGGTGTAATATATTTATACCTACGCACTTCAAACAATTCTTCAAAAGTTAATGGTAACGAGTATGTTTAAAAGGAAATTGAAAGTGAGTGACACCTAAAATTAAAGAAAGAAATTACACAATTAATTGAACACCTTTAGAAGTAGTCTTTGGTGAATACAGTCTATAGCAGCGGTTCTCAACCTGGGGGTCAAATGATCATTTGACAGAGGTTGCTGTGCCACCTCCTTCAACCCCCCGCCTGCTCCATCTCCCCGTAATGGCTGCTTGGTCCCCTCTGCCAGCCAAAAAGCCAGCACCCATGCCATGCCACTTCAGCTCCTTTTCTATCTTTTCTTCTCCGGGTCAGCACAGAGGGGCTCCTCTTCCATCACCTCTTCTTCCTCCTACAGAGAGGAGTCATGAGGAGGTGCTTGGAGGCAGAGGCGCATATGCGACAGGTGAAGGCGGACCCCCTTCTTTCTCCCCCTTTCCTTCTCTCTCCCTTTCCCTCTCTTTTTCTTTCATGTCCTTTCCCTCCCTTTCTCCCCTCTGCTTCTCTCTTGTTCTATGTGTTTTCTTTCTCTTTCTCTCTTTCTCCTCCTCCCTTCTCCTTTTCTTCTCACTTTCTCTATGTTTTTCTCTCCCTTTCTTTTCCTCTCCTTCTTTTTATTTCTTCTCCCTCCCCTTTTTTTCTCTTCCCTTCTTTTTTCCCCTTTCCTTCTTCCCCTCCCCCTTTTTCTTTCTCTTGCCTCTCTCTTTTTGCAATCCTTTCCCTTTGGTCTGTAGAGGAGACCTGGATTGCTATTCTAGAGGGGACATGTGGCAGTGTTTGTGCTCTCACCCTGCACACAGCTTTCCATTAAAACATTTTAAGGGGGCTTCCCATTTCCGACTGGAAAGGAAGAGCAGTGACCGGGAGCTATCCTACCCTGGGCTTCCCTTAAAAAGCCCTCTCTTTTCTCTCAAATTGCACTATAGGCCCTGCCTAGAATGAGCCTTTCCTCCCTCATGTTTTCCTACTTCAGGTTTAATGCTTCCTTAAAGCTTTTTCTACTTTCTACTCTAGTGGAGATTGGGATTACTATTATTAATAATTATTATTATCTTTTAGATGTATTTTCTGAAGGAGAGGAGGGGAGGAGAAAAAGAAGCTAAAAGGCTGACTCTCCAATTCCCCAAACGCACGTGTGCACCCAACCCATCCATCCCCCCATGTTCCCAACTCCCAGTCAATCCCACTAAATAAAAAGAATCAAGAAAATAAAGAAAATTCAAAAACATTCAAGAGAGAGGCCAAGCCAAAAGCCAAGCCAAAAATGCACTGAAGCCAGGACACAGGTGTGATGCCAAATAAGGGAGGAGGAATTGTGATCAGCTGCCACATGGTCCTGTTACTGACATAAAAACATTACTGTTGGCCCCTTGCTGTTACGGCCATCCAGCAGAGCCGAAGAAGCTGGTTTGGCCAAAGTAAAATGGCTAAAACGGATCTGTGCACAAGTCTAATCTTTAGTGTTCTTTTGTTCAATGGTCAAAGGCAGGCTAACACCGGTCTAACACTCCAACCAGTTTATCAATACAAGGGTATCTGTATTGCGACACACCTACTGACTGTTAATGGTAACAATTACAATAATCACGGAATGTTCCTCTTCAGTTGCTGATCTCTCTGACCTCTCTGGTTTCAGTCTCTCATCCACTCTCTGGTTTCAGTCTCTCATACATTAATATTCCAAGGAGCTGGTGAAGTTGGTTGTGACCAATGAAAATATATGCCAAATCAAATCAATTCATTTTAGGGCATCAGAGACATTTGGTTCTTTTTGTTATATTTTAGGATCATGGTGGAACAAAATTATATGCAATCACAGGAGAGCAAATCTGTTCCAAGGAAGTGGTGTTAGCACTTTGTCATTGTGGAGTTTTAAATCACCAGTCTGAACGAGCTATTTGTTCAGTATTGCATTACTTCCAAGAATCCATATGAACTCTTGTTTTCTTTAGGGATTATTGGTTTAATACCTGGTGAGCCCCTGGCAAAAAGTCTCAATGATATGAAAGCATAGCTGCAACGTCAATACAAATTGCTTTCTGACAACTCTATTAAGGATTAGGAAAGATGGCCCAGATTTTCTTCTAACATTTTCTCACTATGAACATGTGATTCATACATAGTTTTAATATACACGTTTCCATTGTATTTTCTTCTGATCAACAGATTGTGATATGTACTTTAAATATTGTTCTAGCAAAAATCTGGAAGTCTATTTTCATGGCTCTTCAGCCTCAGGCTTACTTGTGTATTATCCTGTAATATCCTTTTCTTTTTCTTTTGGTAATTGAAATATTATTCCCTCTGGAGTTAGTTTATTTTCTGATGTCTCAGGATGCATCCACACTATAGAATTCATGTAGTTTAGCAGCACTTTAACGTCCATGGCTCAATACTATGGAATTACTGGAGTTGGCATTTTACAAGGCCTTTATTTATTTATTTATTTACAACATTTCTACACCACCCTTCTCAACCCCCGAGGGGGGACTCAGAGCTGCTAACATTGACAACAATTCAATGCCGCAATATCAATATAACAACAATATAAAACCATAAATATGCAATAGATTAAAAACAGTAACATTAATTATATAGTCACATAGCCGTTTCCATTATCATAACAATCACGGTCCAGTTCAATGTCCAAAGTGCTGCTGTGCCTGTTAGCCAAAAGCCTTGTTCCAAAACCATGATTTCAGTTTTTTCCTAAAGGAAAGGAGGGAGGATTCTGCTCTAATCTGGCTGGGGAGCGAATTCCACAAGCGAGGGGTCACCATCGAGAAGGCCCTGTCCCTCGTCCCCACCAGATGCGTTTTTGAAGTTGGTGGGACCAAGAGCAGGGCCTCCCCCGGTGGATCTTAAACTACGAGGTGGAACGTAGAGGGAGATACGTTCGGACAAGTAAGCTGGGCTGGAGCTGTATAGGGCTTTATTGTACTCTGAAATTGACCAGCAGCCAGTGGAGCTGGCACAGTAGGGGGAAGGGGTCTTTCCTGCCAAATAGTGCTGGTGAATCACACAATCAAATCCCAGAATTCCATAGCATTGAGTCATTGAAATAAAAGTGATGTTAAACTGCATTAATTATTCAGTGTAGATGCACCCACAGACTAATCCCATTACTGTCTTTTACAAAGGTATTGTTGGTGTAGTGAACCAGTTATTTGTTACTGCCATCTTGTTTATTGATATATTTTCTTTAGTTTTTTGAATGAAATGCCTGGAGTGAGAATTATTTATTTGGACTTCTATTGTATTGTTGTGTCGTGAGCCCTATGAAAAAGCTCTTCTGTAACTTATGAGGAAAGCTGTCATAAGCCATATGCTGGTTTCAGCTTGACAGAACTGAAGAGATCAAAATTTCAGATTTAAACCCAAAGTGTACACACTTCAAATTAAGTTATGAAATATTGCAAGCAATGACACTGAAGAAGGAAGGTAACCCCAGAGAAAATTGTCTTATTAGATGTAATAGCCAAAGATGATTGAAAAGAGGATTTGGTGGGAAAGGAGAGAGGTGATAACATGGCCACATCCATATAGCACGCTGCATTGGAATCACTGAGCATGCTGGTTTATTGATAATGATTGCTTCTTCATCTAATCCTTCCAAGCCAGAGAGCAGCCAAAATTACTACAAACCTACCAAGGCAGAAAAGTGTAATATTGTATCTGAACCTGGATTATGACTTTCTGGCCCTTGACAACATTAGATATCTAAATCAATTTAAAACTCTGGCTTTGAACTCTTTCTTCTTAGAAGACATGCTATATCCAGAAGTCAATGTCTGGTTAGTATCACAAAACTTTTCTTTGGT